TACGTTACGTAACGTAACGTAAGTAGTTAGTAGTAGTAGTAAGTAAGTAGTTAGTTAGTAAGAAGAAGTAGTAGTAGTAGTAAGAAGTAAGTAGTAGTAGAGAGAGAGAGAGAGAGAGAGAGAGAGAGAGAGAGAGAGAGTTTAATTTGACTAGAGAGAGTTCCTTTAACATAGCTTAATTTGACTCCGTTACCCTAGTTTCCCTCCCATAAAATCAAACCATATATAACGATGATCTATAACTCTCCCTCTCTCTCTTCTCTATCTCTCTCCTCTTTCTCTCTCTTACCTGCAATTAGCGGGCAAAGCAGGCCACTTCATGGGATCGTTCAAAGCAGGAGGCAACAAATTCAAAAAGTAGTAATCCCCCCAATCCAAAAGCGCCCCTTTCTCAACTCCAAGCCTGCTCCCATACCCCTCATACGTCTTAGGATTATTAGCATACTCCTGTTTCAAATGCAAAGGCAGCGCAAAGAACCCACGCCAAACCTCTCTCATCCTCTCAATCACTTCATTCGGCACCCCATGGTTCACAGCTTCAAAGAACCCCCACTCTCTGCACGCCTCGCCCACCTTCAACCCCACCTCGCCGTCGCGCAGCGCGCCCAGGTCTATGACCGGCACCGAGCCCAACTCCGAGCCCGCCGGCTCCAACCCGGGCCTTTCGGACAGGGGCTTTATGTAGCGCTCGGGTATGACGGGCGAGCCGCTCTCCGCTATGGCCTGGACCCTTCTCACCGGCTCCGGCCACTCGCCAAGGCAATCCATCTCCAACACTGAGCCTGCTTTCCTCGAAGGCTCCTCCCCTTATATAACTATTATGTCTATAACGCATGTGGGGTTAGAGAGAGAGTGTGTATGTCAGGGCTTTTTAGAGAGAGGAAAAAGGTGGCTTTAGAGAGAGAAAGAGATTGAATTTGGGATTTAATATGGGGGTCCATTTGGAGTGCTGGCGCTCCTCGGACAGCGTATGAGAAGGGGTGGGATGCCATTTGTAGGGTAGGGCGGGTTGGACGACGTTGGCTCGTTGAGGTTGACGGGCAGTGCAAAGGCCGGACATGCAGGGTTGGGCGACTTAAATGTGGTTGGCAGACGCCTTTCTACATGTGGTTGCATTGCCTTTTTTGGAGGATGCCCAGACTTATGTAGAGAGAGAAAGTTAGAGAGAGAAAGCCCACAGATATGTAGAGAGAGAAAGGAGGCGGGCTAGGTCAGGTTGACTTTGAAAAATAATTTATAAAAAAAAGTTTATATAGGGCTCAAGCTTTAAACAATCAAATTAGAGTGCATCTAAAATTTTTTATTAAGAGAGGTTCTTTTGGTTCTTGAATATCCTCAAATTGATCATCTCGGCATCTAGATGCATAGACAGAGAAAAAAAATGGATTTCACGTTTTGAAAATAGTGCATCGTATAACACATTTTTGGACGGTTAGTTTTGAGATTTTCGAGTTTTCATAGATATGCTTGATCTAGATTATTTTTATAGGTTTTAAATTTTATAATTAGAAATGAAAATATATTTTAAAGCGTTTACAAAGATTTTTAGTATTAAATCCATATTGCTCGATTCTATTTTAAAGTGCACTTTACTTTGATTATTTAGAGCCCAGGCTCGATACAAACCTCACCATATTTAAAACAACATTCCGGTCGGTTATCTAATGAAACACACTTAGAATTATCTTGTTTTATGTGTTGGGATTAGTAAAAAAAACATGGAAATATTCATTATCCAATTTAGAAGAGTTCATTTGGCTTCATTAAGATTCTACAATTTATTATCATAAGAACCTTTTTCCAACTATTTGGGGTCAATTTGTATCGCAGTTTAGGCAGACAAATATACATCAGATAATAAAGGAGTTTAATTTGTTTTATGTATTAGGTTAAGTGAAAGAAAGCATGGAAACATTCATGACCTGATTTAGAAGAACTCATTTTGTTTCATGATAAGAGCTCTATATCAGGCAGTTTATTATCATAAGAACCTTTTTCCAACTATTTGAAGTCTGTTTTATGTATTAGGTTAAGTGAAAGAAAGCATGGAAACATTCATGACCTGATTTAGAAGAACTCATTTTGTTTCATGATAAGAGCTCTATATCAGGCAGTTTATTATCATAAGAACCTTTTTTCAACTATTTGAAGTATGTTTTATGTATTAGGTTAAGTGAAAGAAAGCATGGAAACATTCATGACCTGATTTAGAAGAACTCATTTTGTTTCATGATAAGAGCTCTATATCAGGCAGTTTATTATCATAAGAACCTTTTTCCAACTATTTGAAGTCTACAATTCGTATCTGACAATTCAGGAGTTCAGTCAGACAAATATATATCAGATAATAGAAGAAATTAGTTTGTTTTATATGTGTTGGTTTAGCGAGGGATCTTGGGTAGTTGTGTTAGTTTAGAGAATGCTTAAGAAAGAGTGAGTTTGGTGAAGAGAGAGAAAGGTTGGGCCGTTGTGTTAGTTTAGAGAGGGTGGGAGATTGGATTGCTTTTGTGTTGTAGATGGTAGTGGATGATGATTGGGTTGAACGTGAATTTTTAAATACGTCTATGACATTTTTATCAATTTTAGAAAGTATACACAATTTTAGAAGTGCTTATGAAAAACAAAAAAAAAAATAATAATAATAAATAAATAAATGAGAAAGAAAAAAAGCATTTCAAGTCTTAGATTTATATAGCGCATATTCTAACGCATTATTGGACCCCCTAACTGTTTGTATATATACATTATTTCTATGGCTTTAAAATTAACTATTAGAAATACAATTTAATGTCATTGTAAGGATTTCGGACACCAAATCTACATCTCCTAACAATGTTTGGAGGTGCATTTTATTTTGATTGTTTAAGATTGATCTGATATATAAATTGCACATTTTTAATAATTTCTTAAATTATTGTCTTTGAATTGATTTTATTGTATGAAGTTTCTTTTGACTCTTTTAAAATTGTTTCTGAATTAGTGGGGCAGTTGTGCTCGTTTAGGGTGAGAGATTGGACATCTTTTAGGGGCATCGATTCTTTATATATATAAACACTCGAGACATTTTCGCCCCCTTTTAAGAGATAATCCAAATTTTAATTATTCTTGTCCCCTTCTTGCTTAATAATTAATTGTATACTTTATAATTAATTGAATGTGAGAGAGAGAGAGAGAGAGAGAGGGGGTCTTGAGAAGCCATTTATCAAAGGATGCAGTTTCTAGGTGATTTTAAAAACGGATTTGTGACCTTGATTGGGCACCCTAAAAATTGGTCCAAAGTCCCCGTTTTACTGTAGAAAAAAAGAAAAAAAAAGTGAAAAACCATTGAATCGGCCAAAAATCGGTCCCAGATCGATGAATCGGTGGGTCTGGATCATCGTTTTATCGTAGAGAATCATCGTTGTGCCGAGCATAACCGCTGGTTCCCTTCTAGACTTGGCCGTTTTCTTATATGTAGGCAGAACCAGAATGAGGTTACCGATTCCCAGGTTAGATCGAGCTATTCCATATCAACCTGGCGTTTTGTAAATGTCTGGTTTCAATAATTCCTAGGCATTATGAATAAATAAATAAAGCTTTACCTCGAAACTATGTTTGAAAAATACTTTGACAATGAAAAATCTCTACGACGGCTTTAAAATCAATTTCCATAACCGATTAGGAAATTTGTAGCTCAAAAATAGTATAGATGTTGCAGATTCGATAATACTTGAAAATGGACAGTTTATAGATATAATGTGTTGCAATATACACTATTTTTAGAGTTTGAAATCTTTTTTTTTTTTCCCGATAACCATAAAACTCAAAATGATCGGTTTTTGGGCACCAAAACTACAATTTTTCTTGAGATTTGAGGTGAAGCTTTACTTATTTTGGTACGGCCGTAGCCCTATCAAGACATTATCCTTTCTCAAAATGCTGAATATTTTATAGGATTTAATCCCTTTATTTACGATGCCGTAGCTCCTAATAGTTTGATAATTGTTGGGGGGTTAGGTAATTGTTATGGGAACGGTGAACACCGAGCTGAAGACAAGAGGAACCTTCGCTGAGATGAGCCGTTGAAAACGTACGACCCCATCCAACGGCTGCATTTGTATCAAGTGTTGAGTGCCGACAACGGCGCATGAGATCGAAACTGTGGCTTGTTTATCATGTGCAAGAATTGTGAAAGAGTTGAGATGAAGTGGATATGATCACGTCGGTGACGGGCCCTCGTGTATCACCCACTCATCGACTGGTCCACCAACCTTTCTCCCTCCACCTTACCATTCACTTTCTCTCTCTAGGTGTTCTAGTGTGGGGCTCACAATCAACCGGCTCCGGCCCGGTCATTGACAAACTTGTGTCGGGCTCACGACCTGGCCTTGGACTCGAGACTGGTCAATTAAAAAAAAAAAAAAAAACAGAAAAAAAATAAAGTTGGGATTAAGGTAACTTGTGTCCAGGGGAGGGCTTGGATTATACGATTATAGCTTGAGCCCGGAATGGACTGGGTTTGGCCCCATCACTATGATGTACAAGGGACTCATTTTATGTTATAAACGTGAGATGCATCTTAAAAGTCTAAAGGTTCTTTTCACACTTGGACACCTGTGTAATTTTGGTTTTAAGATGTACGGATATTAAAAAAAAAGATTTCGATTCGTAATAAAATTTTCAAGTACTTGATAAATTTGATGTATTTGTACTATTTTTTGGAACTTTAAATTTCATAATTATAACAGAAATAGATTTTCACGTCACTGTTAATGTTTTCCGCACCATAATTGCATCATCTTTATGTGTTTGAGGTGGATCTTACTTTCATTTTGTTTTGACATTGAGAAATCCTAAATTGATTATCTCGACCTCGATAAATATAGAAGATAACTTCAAAAGCTAATAGCAGTATATCTTGCAACACATTATCTAGACATTCTATTTTTAAGTTTCAACAAACCTGCAGCGTAAACTCAACAACCTAGATTAAAGAAGTGAAGGTGGTCCTGAAGGCGAAACACATTTTGTCCAACATTTTCTAGGTGTATCTATTTTATTTAATTTTATTTTATTTGAAGGGCCAATATCAGGTCCACAAGTGTGACTCCTACATTTAAAGAGGAAAATTCTAACCCATCCTTATCTGTACATTTCTGGATCCTTAAGCAATTATTGCTTAATACCATTCTATATGCCAATGGGTTTACAATTTTTTTTTTCTTTTTGCTTTTTTTAACTGTTGATGATATTCATTTCACTATTTTTCAAAATAAGGGTACAGGTGGCCAC